GGCAACCACCAAGAGTAACAAGCAAATCCTGCAGCGAAACACGAACACCAAGTGCCTCTAGATGCAAACACTCAAGCAATGCACTTAGATTCACTCCCAATCTCTCAAAGATGTTGAATCAATGATGGAGATGAGTGGGAGGGCTTTGGCTAAGCTCACAAGGTTGCCATATCAATGCAAATGGCCAAGAAAGTAAGCTTGAGCCGGCCATGGGACTTAAATAGAAGCCCCCATGAAATAGAGCCGTTGTACCCCTTCACTAGGCACAACATGGGGTGACCGGATGCTCCGGTCAGATCAACCGGACATAGGACCCCAGCGTCCGGCCACCGATGCTTGCCATGTGTCATTAGATTTAAACGCTGATCGTCCGATCTCAACGGTCATCAGTACATTTAAGTAGTGACCGGACGCGCTGCTCAAAGTAACCGGACACACCAACACCAGTGTCCGGTCATTTTCAGTAAGGTACTAGAAGCGAAAAATCACGACCGGACGCGTTCGGTCATACTCGACCGGACTCACCCAGCGCCCGATCACTTAACGTCTCCCCTATGCGCTGCATATGTCATCATACGTCATACTAACCGGACTCAGGCCCTGAGCGTCCGGTCATTTCTTGCGCCAGCGTCCGGTCAAGAGACCAAAACCGCACACTCACTGTTGCCACTGACCGGACGCGCCGGTCCTGCAAAGACCAGCGTTCGATCACTTACAGTGACCTCCGTTCACTTGGGTTTAGCCACCGGACACGTCCGTTACGCTCTGTGAAACCCTATCTTTTCTGTATAGTGCGTCGGTGGCACCGTCGGACTATCCGCACTCTACGGGTGGACACTCCACCGGTGAAGTTCCTAACCCTTACTCAAATATGCCAACCACCAAGTGTATCACCTTGTGCACATGTGTTAGCATATTTTCACAAATATTTTCAAGGGTGTTAGCACTCCACTAGATCCTAAATTCATATGCAATGGGTTAGAGCATCTAATGGCACTTTGATAACCGTATTTCAATACGAGTTTCACCCATCTTAATAGTACGACTATCGATCCTAAATATGATCACACTCATTAAGTGTCTCGATCACCAAAACAAAATGGCTCCTACCATTTATACCTTTGCCTTGAGCCTTTTGTTTTTCTCTTTCTTCTTTTCAAGTCCAAGCACTTGATCATCACCATGGCAACACCATCATCATGTCATGATCTTCATTTGCTTCACCGCTTGGAATGTGCTACCTATCTCATGATCACTTGATAAACTAGGTTAGCACTTAGGGTTTTATCAATTCACCAAAATCAAACTAGAGCTTTCAGTGAGGACTGCCTAGTGCAGATGTTCACCGAGGGAATAGATGGAGGTCGTCGTTTCTTCAAATGCCTACGAGCATGGGTAATTGCTATTAATATTTGTTTCTTTAATATGTTCCTCTTCTATACTACTTAGACATATTTGTTTCTTTCGAAGAAAATTATGGGTTTATTAGGTGGGTCGATCCTCGACCTATTTTCCTCGAGTACTTCATGTGTTAGGATCGTATCTGTGATCTAGAAAAGGCACAAATTATAAGGACGACGGATTAAATGTAAATTCATTAGAATCAGAGGCACTCTGCAATGATCCATATTGCACCTGCCATAACCACAAGAACAAGGGGCCTCCGCCGTCACCCCCACCAACAATTGGAGGCTACTATGGAGAAGGTGCAACACAATTTGCTATGTGGCCACACTATTAGGACGACTTTATCTTATTCACATGCCACATCTATGTGTTTGTTATTTGGTTTAATTACCTAAGGCATGTTAGGTTTAGTCGAAGAAACTCTAAGTACATGACCGCCATTTCATGTGTTTTGTGTGTTGAAAAGGATCTAATACATGATTAAATGTAAATTCATTAGAACTTCAGATAGTCCAATCGTATCGGCATGACTTGGGTCGGGTTCCGCCCACGATCCTTTGCATTGAGCTAAGTGACTAGGCGTCGAGGACATCGCATAACTTGACTTACGTCGGGAGTTCTTGATCCATCGAAAAATATTCAACGTGCTCGTGGAGTTCTAGAGTATCTCTCTTTTTATTTTATTTTTATGCTTGAGCACTCTATCTTTCTTAGACCAACTAAGTTTGCATCCCTCTTTATAGTGTGGCGGATCCTAAACTCAAAAACAAAAATAAAACCATCGGAGAGCGCATACTGAGTAATAGCTACGACATATCTCATTAAGATCACATTAGTCCCTAATTTAGATATCATCAATACACCAAAACCCACATAGGGGGCAAATGCACTTTCAAATCCTCAATATGAAACATACTGAGTAAGCAACTCATCATCCGAATATCAGTCATCTACCACAACCTTATTGCTGTGGCTAGGCTCACCTGCATTGCTCTAACTGCGTGTCACCTGTAGTAAACAGCCTTCGCTTCATCTATGGCCTCTACGGCCTGAGTGAAGAACGTGTTGTCATCCTCCTCCACCTGCAAGCCAACCTCTGCTAGAGCGATGAGCTCGCTCAGTCTGCTAGTGTCGTCCTCAGCCTCCTCCGCCTACAAGTCAGCCTCTGCTAGAGCGATGAGCTCGCTCAGTCTGTCAGTGTCGTCCTCAGCCTCCTCCTCCTGCAAGCCCGCCTCTGCTAGAGCAATAAGCTCACTCAGTCTGCTAGTATCATCCTCATCCTCGTCCCCCTCATCGGATAACACAATCGGTGATTGAACGGTACGATCAGCTCGTGATCTGTGCTTATCTAACTTCTTTTCCTCATACCTTGCACGAGCCACCTCTGTGGCATGTTACTCGCTGCATCCAATCCCTATATGTATAAAATGCAATCAGTTAGCAACGCGATTATATTACATTTAAAATCAGGCAACGAAAAAAGGTTTTCAAGCACTCACTAGCACATAATGCAACAACATGCTCGTTTAAGACCTGCATCTGTACTCTTGTCTCCTCCCTTGCCTCCTTCCTTGCCCTCCCCTCCTCTAACGTCATCCGTCTCTCCAATCTCCATTTATCAAGCCCAACATCGATCGGGTTACAAATATCGCGCTGTCTAGCAAACCCACACATCTTTTTTTGTGATGTTTAACGAATAGGTTGACGTAGTCAGGTCCATATCCCCTCTTCCGTGCAATTACCTGCCTTCCCTTGAGCTCATCCAAGAACTTAGCTTGACCATCATAACATTCTCACCTGCATTTTCTAGTGCTCTGTTCAAACGAAAAATTATATCATATATATCTTAGCAAAACAAACAAAATACGATTTTCTGTTTACCGTAAAAATAACGAACCTCATCATAGTCAACCATATGGCCGCAATAATGGCCTATTCCAAGCTTCGAAGGGACTAGATCATAGTTGGATTTAACACCACATTCGTACATGGTAGGAGGTGCTTTGTAAATTACCCTTTCTTTCTTCTTTTCCTTAACCTTTCGCGGTTCTTTCGGCCATTGATTCTTAGGACCATACAACCACTCCTTGAAACGACACTTCGCCATTGAAAATACCTAAATAAGGTGACATTAGTATACGCACACATAGAGCTAAACATTTAAACATATACACTTTCCACTTACTTCGTGTTTGTTCGGACACACAAACTCCAAAGTATTATCAGGGTTCATCACGGCTCGATCTCCGCATTCGCACAGAGGAGGTTCCTCAAGTCGTCTAACTGTGGCTAGATGTTTCTCCTTAGCTGTCATTGGCGGGGGGTTAGGGGGTGGAACCCACCGCTTGAAGTGCTCACATGGATGTCTCTCTCTAAACTAATCGTCGAAAAGGAGGTACCTAGGGTCAAACTTATCTGCACCGTCGATCCACTGAAAGAAAAGGCACATCTCATGGTCCTACACAACGAGATTTCAGCAAAATATTAGTAGCATACTTACATAAATAAAGAAAAAAAGATAGTGGAAACAATAACTTATATTAAAACGACTGCATGTGTAGAAGCAACGAGCCGTTGTGTCCGGATGTCTCGATTGAAACACGTCGGCCGGACGACCACAATCGCAGTTAGGGACAAGGAGGTCAGGAGGGACGAGGGCATCTTTGCTAAACGCGTCGGGGTATAATTCTCGAGGACGACCCCGTTTTCGCCAAAACTCATCCCGATACATTTCTTGCATCTAACAAAACGGATGTAATTTAACAAACAAAAATCAAAACATCACAAATTAATGTCAATGAGAACCATAACTACAATACAACCAATTTCGTTGTAAGAACCGAAACCAATTAATATTAAACCCTAAACCTAGGGTTTCCAATGTTATGCAAAACAATGAACCCATAAAACATAATAACATGCGATGCGGTTACCTAGGTTTAATACAAATATTAAAAATTATATGAAACCCTAAGTAATGACGATTCTTAGGTTGAAAAATCCGACTAATATATATCAAATCGATGCGAAAAAAACTAAGAGAAGAACGAGGATACCTTGCTCTCGAAGATCTCGGATCAAATCAAAGTTTTCAATGTCCAATATACCGATTTGTGAGGTAGGATGAAGTGGGGAGAGAAAAAACCCAAGAGGAAGAGAAAGAAGAGGAAGAAGGCTCGGACAGGAAGGTTGGGGCCGAGGTTAAAACACAAGCTCGGCGTCAGTCACCCTGGCGCCGATCTCGGCGCCGTAGATCTTGGCGCTGAGCTTCCTGCCATGTCACCGCCACGTTGGTTTCGAGCCCAAAAGTTCGGCGCCAGAGACGCTGGCGTCGAGATGTATAAGCTCGGCGCCATGGCGCCGAGCTAAGAATTCTGATTTTAAAATCTTTCCTCAAAAACGTATTTGTGAAAATATTTGAAAAAAAAAGGCTAAAAATAAAAAATTCGGGCGGCACTCACGGGGAGCGGTGGCGAGTGCCTGAGTGCCGACCCATATCCATCACGGGCTCACTGCGCCCGCGCGAGCGAAGAGACCTCGGAAGCGAGTGGGCCGCCGCCGCTGGGAGTGCAGACAACACTGTTCGGCGATCCATGGGGTGGGCACTGGCTCTGCACGGCGGCGCCGGGGACGTGCCGCGCACGCTGCCGCCCGAGAGCAGGGAGCCGCGCCTCGCCACGCTCCGCCGCTGCCTCGACATCGGCACCGCCGCGCTCCGGGAGGGACGCACCGCGCTCGACGTCGTGGAGCTCGTCGTACGCCCTCCTCTACTCGTCTCTTCTCCGGTCCCTCTGTCTGTCTGGTGCCGGCAGCCCCGGGCGATTCTTGATCCCATACATGGCCAGGTGAGGGAGCTGGAGGACTGCCCGCACTTCAACGCCGGCCGGGGCTCCGTGCTCACCTCCGACGGCACCGTCGAGATGGAGGCCTGCGTCATGGAGGGTGCCACCCTGCGCTGCGGCGCCGTCTCGGGACTCTCCACCGTGGCCAACGCCGTCTCCCTCGCCAGGCTCGTCATGGAGAAGACGCCGCACATCTACCTCGCCTTCGACGGCGCCGAGGCGTTCGCCAGGAAACAGGTTTCCAACTCCTGTTCACTTCCACTGTTTTGTTCCAATACAAGTTACAGAAATCAGAATCGATGCATAATCCTGTTTTCCGCTCTTCATCAACTCTCTGTTCCGTTTCATTTCATTTTGTTCTCAACCTGCTACTGTCAGCATTAGGTGTCCTTGCTGTGGCATGAATTCAGGACCCAAAGAAAGAACAGAGTAAAAATAAGGAGAAAAGATTAGACTTTTGATACCAGATTTACCAATACCGCTGATACCTGAGTACCTGACATTGATGTTTGCTCACTCTTTCTTCCAATGACAGACGATGACGACACGTCATCTAGTATATTCCTGATGAGGAGAGATTGGAGAGCTCTCCTGCTTGTTTACAGATTATACACGCTTCTGATCTGATTGGTTAGTGGTCACTTGTCAGGGGGTGGAGACTAAGGATCCAAGCCACTTTATCACGGACCACAACATCGAGCGGCTGAGGCAGGCGAAAGAGGCCAACAGGGTGCAGGTAACGTCAGATATTTTCTGTCCCCTTTGTTCAGTTTTGGCGTGGCACATTCAGGATCTTGCATGATTCGGTATCCTGCTAATCCGTTGTAAGTGAATAAGGGGATCGCATAGTTTTATTTTTGGCGAAATAATTGATTCACATCTAATCTTGTCTTGCACATGATTGTGTTTGCAAATCACAGACAAACCTATTACCTATGGGCTTTGAACCATGCATGTGTGTTTGCAGCAAGATAGGCAAACATATGTAGCTTCAGTTGTTTTGTTACCAATGTATAAAAATATACTCAAGAATCTGATTTACTATCGATTTACTGCCTGGCATAGGAGTTGTTATGATACATAGCTTTTACTACGTTTCTAGATACATTACTATCGATTTACAGTCTGGCATAGTTCGTCCTCAATAATCTGTATAAGATGGAGATATATGCTTTGATCGTTGGTTCACAGTTCAATAATTGTTTTTTTAGTCAAAAAAATAATTGTTTTTAAAAAAAAACACACAATTCAAGAATTGGTTTTATGCAGCTGGACTTTTCTTTTCTTGCTTGTCAGATCGACTACACCCAGCCAATGAAAGGGCAAAACACCCAGGCCCCGGCGGACGACAACAGCCAGACCGGCACGGTGGGGTGCGTGGCCGTCGACGCCGCGGGCAACCTGGCGACGGCGACGTCCACGGGCGGGCTGGTGAACAAGATGCCCGGCCGGATCGGCGACACGCCCCTGGTGGGAGCCGGCACGTACGCCAACGCGCTGTGCGCGGTGTCCGCCACGGGCAAGGGCGAGGAGATCATCCGCCGCACGGTGGCACGCGACGTCGCGGCGCTGATGGAGCACGGGGACGACGCCCTCCCGCTGCGCGACGCCGCGGCGCGCGTCGTGGCGGGGGCGCCCCGCGGCACCGTGGGGCTGGTGGCCGTGTCGCGCCAGGGGGAGGTCGCCATGGCGCACAACACCACCGCCATGTTCAGGGCGTGTGCCACCGAGGCCGGCCACACCGAGGTCGGCATCTGGACGGACGCCGATGCCGCCGCCAATGGAGAGACTGTCAGCGTCGCGCTCTAGGTATTCAACTCCTACTATTGTTCGCGTTCCATTATTGCCAGCTGTCCGGCAAACAACTTGTTCTCGGTTAACTTCACCGTGCTTCATCTGTGTGTGTGTTTGGGAAATTGTGAAATGATTATGTGAAACATTATTGTGTGTTCTCAGATAATTGCTCCTCCATTAGAGAAAAGTTTATTTCAGTATGCTTTCGTAAATCAAAATGCAAGGTTATATCTGCCCTTTTTGTTTTCTTGAACAATGCAGACTGTAGTACCCACAGTATCTCAATAACAAAGCTTATAAAACACAAAAGAAATGTTTTGATGCGTACCATACCATCGCTTGAGGTGCATTTTTCACATGCAACGTCTTTTTTTTTCTCGAAACACAAAAGCATTGCGTATCATTTGCATTAAGAAGGAAGAAGCAATTTATGGTACAAGAGGCCAAAGCCATCCCGGCCAAAACAGGGATAATGGATGACATGATGCTTAGGAACAAACTGCAGACGCTATGTGGACACATTGCTACCCAGCGTTCGTTGCTGCCAAGCTAACAGACCTGTCGCTCCAGCTTGATACTAGCGTTCTGCCTCTGCTCAGATGATTGGGAGGAGGTCAGCTGGTGTAACGGCAGCATCTCTGAAGCAACACGCATTTCTTTGCTTCCATACCTCCCAGGATATCAGCGCGAAGAGTGAGTCGATACCCGAGCACTGAGTGCCAGTTCCAGTCCGTGTGAACTCGCCGTCACCATTTGATTATAGATTGGGTTGCCAGAGGGAACACCCGACCAAAGGCTCGATAGATGAGACTCCATACCTCCCTGGTGTAAGGACAGGAAGCGACGATGTGGTCAATCGTCTCTTGCGCATGGTCGCCGAGATAGCACCGCTCCCTTGTTTCCGAGCCATGGCGTGCTCGACGATCTCCGGTCCAATGCTTGTGGCGGAATGCTAACCATAGAAAGAGCTTGACCCGTAACGGCTCCTAGGTCTTCCATATCAGCTTGTGGCCACGGAATTGAATAGCGCCCTTGTGCAGCATGGCGTAGGCTGATCTTGCCGTGTAGGATCCACTTGGTGTCCAGCGCCATATTGTTGCATCAGGCTGGTCATTAAGAACAATGGCTTCCAAGATGTCCCAGAGAGTGAGGTAGCCAACGATGGCTGGAATTGAGAGGCCACCGGAGATCGCACGAATCCATTGGTGGTCTGTTAAACCTTCCCTGACTGTTTGATGCCGTTTAGTTCTGGCAGGAACAAACGGCGACAGCGTGGGGGCGATCTCAGGAACTGACTGTTCATCAATCCAGTTGCCTTCCCAGAAGAGGGCACGTCTTCCGTTGCCGACCATCGTGATCGTGGAGGCTTTGAAGAACGCATGCACTTGCGAGTCAACTTTGATTGGTAGTTGGCTCCATGCTCGGTCTTGATCCGTCTTCTGCAGCCATAGCCATCTTTATTGTAAGGCGAAGCTGGCTAGCTTGAGATCTGTTACCCCCAGACCGCCTAGCCCTGTTGGTTTGCACAAAGCCTCCCAGGCAACCATGCATTTTTCACGGACCGATGTGCCTCGCCCTGCCCAGAAGAACTTGCGTCAAATTGCATCGATCTCCTTACGCGCCCAAGGTGGTAGACTGTCTGCCATCATGGCGTAGATGGGCACTGCACGGAGCACCGATTTTATACAACGTCAACATCTGCCAATTATATGTAGTACCACTACCAAACCCACATGTTAATGTGTTGTTGATTAGCTTGGTGGTATAGCTGACAAGTGCCCTTGAAATAGTTGTATGGATAAAACTAGAGAAAAGAAGGGGAAAAACAAGACTTGGAGTTGTTACTTAAGCTCTTATTGATTCCTCATCCTCGCATTATTATTGCATTATATCAGGGGTTATGCAGCGTACCCCTTAATCCGCATAAGGCTATGCAATAAACTATTTGTTTGGTTCGTTTGAATAGAAGGTTTACAATATTATGCGCTTGATTGGTTTTCTATGTAAGTGGTCAAATTGAGTCTTGGGGGTTGCCGAGCGGGTGAAGGATGGAGGGTGTATAGCTGGATATGGAAGATATGGCCAAATCGTGAGACGCAACTATGCAAGTTGGGGTTGCTTTGAAGACGATGTTAGTCTACATATAGACTTGTGTAGGTAACCAAACAAGGACAGATTGTACTATGGGGGCTTGGATAAGAAGTTGTGTAGGCAACCAATCAGAGTCTTATTTCATGACAGCCTATCAGTGATTGAAAAGCCAGAGCTAGATTAAGTTGAAGGCAAAAGTGAACCTTATTAAGAACTTTAGTAGGACTTGGCTAAATAGTGCTAGCTAATAATATTTCATTAGCTAAATAGTTCATCTTGAGCTATTAGTCGGGTTTTATTACTAGTTCACAAAATAAAAAGTTGAGATAATACTATTAGATGGGTTTTTAAATGCACTAGAACTAATTTTAGTAGCTAACTATTAGCTTATGGGATCCAAACATTTTTTATAGTACTATAAACCCACATATTACTAACTAGGTATAGATGACAAGTAGTTTTAAAGTAGAGGTATGGATAAAACTAGAGAAAAGAATAAAAAGAAAATACATAGCTTAGAATTGCTACGGACATGTTTGGTTAGAACCCTGACAAAAATGCCTGGCAGGTATCTCTGCCTGAGATTTTTCCTAGGATGTGTTTAGTTCAAACCCTGAGATTATTGCCTGATTGTAGCTGCTTGGATGTGTTGCCTGGTGCCAGTCCTTCAAAATCGATCGCCTGGGATCTCCTAGGAGTTGCCTAGCTCCAATTAATGCTCACAGATACTTTCTCAACATCAATTGATACAAGCAAACTCAACCAAACAACGCTTACCTCTTTGGCCATTCAGGCAATGTATCAGGTCACCAACCAAATGGTACTACGAATTTAACATGTGCCTGATCAGGCAATTTTGTAATCGCGTACAGGCAGTTCACTGGCATGTTTTGGACCTAGGCAATTTGAACCAAACTTGCCCTACGTAAGTCCACGAAGCCCAAATTCAAATTTCTCTATTTACTAATCCTCTTGCTTATATAGGTGAGAGGTAAAATCAACACTACATCTTGGAAACGAGCCTTTTCAGAAGCCCCACCACCTCTTTTGTGCGCCGACAAAAGCTGGAAGTGACAATCAATTTTTTGTTGCTCCTCGAGGCTCTAGTTTTTGTTTGAGCACATTGCTAGTGAAGTTTAGATAAAGTTACCTATACAATTGAGGGTCTCTTTGCCAGGGTTTAGGTTTTCAAAAAAAACCCCATTTTACCTTGGTTTTAGTTTTAGAAGTTGCTCTTCTATGTACTCGTTTAGTAGGACTTTTGATTAAACTGGTGGATAAGCGTCACGAAAAACACACCCAATAAAAAGACCTCAACCCTAACCATAAACCAAACAATTAACTTTAGCGATAGGGTTAGTTATAGGACCAAAGAAGTAGCCATGAAACTAGACATGGAGCTTGCTCGGTTGGCTGAGGAAACTAGACGCTCGTCTCATTTGTCACCATTATGGGAAAAAAAACTTTTTGAACTGTGTCCCAAAACAGCCAAAAAAAGATCATGACAGTAAGAAGAAGATTTGAGCTCGCTCGACTCGATCTACCTTTCCCCTGCGGCCTGCGGGCTGCGGCCAGCGCCGCGCCCTCTTGTTTGAACGGCAGCCCAAGTACGGATCAGAAATTTTCGGAGCCCGAAAGCGATGCCCCTGCCCCCTGTGCAGTGGCCACGGCCCACGCACGCCACCACGGTCCACGGGCCCGTACCAGCAGCACAGCGCCTCCTTAGTCCTGCCTGCACACGCCCAAAGCGCCCGCGAACGGCAAAGGACGCGGCGGGGTCCACAGCCAGCGTCCCGGCGCGGGGCGCCCACGGGACGGCCGGGCCCACGCCTCCCGCGCGCGGACGAATAAAGCGGATTGGACTCCGTGCTGGGGTCTGGTCCCGATCCCGACCCAGCGACGCAGCCGCTGCACCCAAATTCAAAATAGTTCCGCAACATAATACTTATCGATCGCTAGAGTATTTATACGAAAGATCTATTTTAAATGTCAGGAAAGTTATAATTTAAATTTAGATTTCTTCTCTTCTGAAGATCTATTTATAAAAATAATTGTTTTTTAAATTTTTTTATTAGAGAATACTAAAAATAAGTATTGAACTTTTTACAAAAATAAATAGGTCTTATATTTTGTATTTTAGATGCTTGGAGACCGTCTAAGAACTCATCAGAAATAAAAAAAAAACTAAAATCCGCCGGAAGAAAAAAAAACACCCGAAAATTCTCCCTGTCTCTCTCGCTCGCTCGCTCGCTTTTCTCTCTCTCTGTCTGTGGGAGGGCGACGCAGGCAGGCGACGCGACTCCACTTCGTTTCGTTCTCAGGCGGCCCCGGGTGCTGCTGCTCGCCGCCCAGCTCCAGGTACGCTCGAGGGCCGAAAAAACCCTCGTCTCCCTCCCACCTCGCCTGCTCGAGATTGTTCGTGCTTCTGCTCCGGGTCGGGGTTGCTGTCGTCGTCGAGCTGGGTGCGCCGCGTGTGAGCGGGCAGAGGAAGCTCAGCTTGGGGTTTCTAGGGTTTTTGTGACGAGCGCATGGGAGCCGTCTCTCCTCTGCTCGGGTAGAGTACAGCTGCCAGGCGTGGTTCTCTGAGTTCAGGGGAGGGCTTCTGGGCTGCGGTAGAGCTGGGTGCCGCCCAAATCCGGCAATTTTCGCCCCGAACTGCTTAGGGTTTGGATGCGGAAGCCGGGGTCCTTGGCATCGTGCTGCTGCGGTTCCTTGGTCCGTGTCCTGTGATTGTGTGGTTCCGTGTGCAATTGCCTGCTGGCTTCGCTGAAATTTGGGGTTCCTGCAACGAATTGGGCTTACCCTGTCAGTTAGCCCTTTCGGTGATGCGTGCAATTTGATTTCTTCCGCCGTAGTTTTCATGTGAGCCTAGGCTTTTTAGCATTCCTTTTTATTCTAGCTAGGACCATGATGTGGTGCTTTTATTCCTCCATTTTGCCTTCTTGCTTTGTATTTGAAAGAATTGTACTGTAGAGTTTAGATCTTCGGAACAATACCGACATAGCAAGCGCCGCAGCATGCCACTGTTTCCTTCCTTTTGCCAGATTTGCATTCCCCACCGGGTCCTGTACCTCATGTTTCCTCACTAGGGTTACCATCTTAACACAGTTATTAGAGAAATAAGGGTCGGCTTGGTTGCCCGAGGCCGACCCAGCGCCTGCGATGGAGGAGAAGGCTGTCGCAAATGGAGCAACCGCTGCTGATGTTGCTGCTCCTGATACTGATAACAAGGATAATGCCAAGGAAGAGGCTAGCGAGAGCAAGGAGGCAGTAGCGAGTCAGGATGCTGAAGAGCAGAACAAAGGCTCGGAAAATGGTGCTGAGGGCGAGTCAGCTGGAGATGTCAAGATGGCAGAGGCTGAGACCGCAGAGGAAGGCGATGGTGATGCTGGTGCGGCAAAGCAGGTGGATTCTGGAGATGTCGAAACGGATGCAGATACAAAGGAAGATGCCAATGCCAAGACAGGGGAAGGTGAGGATGTCAAGATGACTGAGGCTGACGCAGGAAGTACAGAGGTCAAAGATAAAGAAGAGAAGGAAGATGAAGTTGAGAAAGAGAAGGAAGATGAAGTTGAGAACAAAGGAAAAGAAACGGATGCCGATGAGAAGCAAGAAGAAGAGGAAGCAGAAGAAAAGGGTTCTGCTGATAAGAAAGATGAAGATGAAGCTGAAGGTGAAGGTGACAAGAAGATGGGAGAGAATAAGGAGGAGACTCCGAAGAACAAGAAAGCAAGGAGTGCCAGGGATAGAAGCCAGGGAAAGGATAAGAAACAGGATGGATCCAAATCCAGGGAAGCAAAAAGTTTGCTGAACACCCCAAGCCCATATGGTACAGATCGCCCTCAACGTGAGAGGAAAACAGTGGAGAGGTTAGTTGAGGTGATTGAGAAAGAGACAAACAGGAATTTCGTGGTTGAGAAGGTTCGTTGCTTGCATTTCGTTTTGTTCCATTTTTTCATTTCGGCATGTAATAGTGTGTCTGACATTCTTTTTTATCACAGGGACGAGGGACTCCTCTGAAGGATATACCGAGTGGTATGTGCCTCTTTTCATTCTGTTTACTGTGTGCTTCTCTCTGTCTCTGAGGCAGCATAGTCGCTCTCTTCTGTCTTAAACCTTAACGATGACAAAGAGATTATGTTGTGTTATACACGTGATTTGTTATGTTTTACTGGTTCTTGAGTTCTTGATTGAAAACTGTTCTGAAACTTGAAACTGATGGTTTCTAGGTTTGAGTGGAACTCTTTAATTGTGTGCCGTGCATTTTCCATCTTCTGTTTTGATTATGCACCATGGAAAAAAAACAGAACCTTGCGATCTAACTGGAGAGAAGAAACCTTGTGATCGTCAGTGGCTTCAGGAAACTTTTTGCTTGTTTCTCTTTTATGATGTGCCTGCATTTAAACTTATTTGTTATTGTAATTTATATTCACTAAGGGCTTCTGTTAATAGAACCAGTTTCTTATCATCTTTATCTCGTATGATTCTTTATTTTGAATGACTAAATAGATACCTGTACTTGCCTTTTTTTTTCCTCGAACAACGCAGGAGAGCTGCGTGTCATTTCATTAAGAAGAAAAAGTACATAGAGGAGTGGGGGTTAATCCCTCCCAGCACATACAACCCCGACCAACTTGTACCTACCTTTAATAAGTTCTATGAACAAAGTAGGTGGTGTTTATGTGGTAGGCTATTGTTAGCTTTTAAATTAAAATGGCAGCTATAAGGCAAAAAAAACATGATAGATCCGCGGCTCCGAGCAGAACCCAATAGCAAGATATGCAGAATCCAAAAAAGAGAGTATGCTGGGGAACTGTATTACTGTATATCTTCAGTTTTAGGGGCACGAGGACTAGAACCCTGCCTCAACCACAAAATGCTCCGCTATAAGCCATATAGGTGCTCCATATTTGGAGCAGCACAGAACCATCGGTGAAGCTCTAACGTAGGTGCTATATGCCTATGTTAGTAGCTTATCTTTTTTTGTTCTCTGGTGTCTGCTCTAATTGTGTGTCTACCGGTAGCAAGACGAGGCTAAAAATTTTATGATCCTATTAGTTTAGGCGAATCACTTAGCAACTTCGGTGTTTTTTTCATCACTCATCAGCTTAGATGAGCAATAGATTCCTTTCATCTTTTCTGATCGTTTCTGTTGAAATTTAAGTGGAAAGCAACAATTCAGACTATAGTCTGTACAGTATCACATGGCTGATATCATTGCATCTTGCTAGGTGGAATATTTCATTATTTTGAGTAGATGGAAGTGGTATGCAATAAGTAATATTCAGTCCTTTCTTCTCTGTTGATGTTGGTACATCCATTTTCCACTTTATATACTTTCCTTGTTCCCTGTTTTATGAATAATTTACCTTCTAGTCTTTTCTTTATGATGATTTGCTGTGATGACTACAAGCCAGTTGGCTACTTTGATTTCACTTGTAATCTCTCTTTATGCATTGCTTCTTATATTTGCAATGTGTTCTTCATTAGGACAAAGATTTGTCATTCTCTGTTTTTAGGGTTTCCACCTAATGCTTATGTTTGTGAAATTTCGAGTCGCAAAAAAAAAAGTTTGTGAAATTTCTTTAATCTTATAATGTTCTCTTTCACTGATTTGCCTTTTCCTTTTGAAACTTGTGAACAGTGGCACACAGAATATCAAGGAAGAAACCTTCTGATCTTAAATTTCTTCACAGTATTCTTTTTGGGAGGAAAGGCAAGGTAAATCTTCGACATATACACATATAGACTCCTTTGTAACTACTTGATGCAAATTCATCTATCATCCAAGCGCTTTGTTGTATCAAGTACAACTACATGTAAAATATGCAAGGAAACTACCGCACTTTATTTCTTAATAAGTGCTAGTCCCTCCAATATGTCTAAGCAGAGGAAGCACATTTAAGAATTTTCATGAAGTGAAAGAAGCACAATTAAGAATGAACATGCGTAATTTGGCACCATGGATTGTGTAATTGTGTTATCCTTTTGCATATACTGTTCTGGAACCAAATACATAAAGAAATAAAAAAAATCCAAAACAAATAATGCAACGCCCTAAGTGATTGGTATTCTGTGTAAAGTTCCAAATGCTTGTCAAAGTGAATTTTGCTCAGTGTGTACATATATTAGCTGATTGCATGTCAAGATTGTAAATAAAGTAGCAAGAGTAAGGTTTGGCTAGTTTCATGGTCACTTTTTTTTTTTATTTTTGTACAATTGTCTGCTCTACTTTATATACTTTTAGCCCCAGCTATTTAAAAGATGGCTAGTTGTCGCTTGGATTCTCAAGTGAAGTATGCTTTTGTATTCTTGCATTTGATTCCTTAACAAATCCTAAAGTGTGACATTACTCTTGAATGATATTAACGCTAAGTTCTATCTCTTATGTTATGTTTCAGGTTGTTGATTTTAAAGGACATATACTCCAGTTCTCTGGATTTGTTTGGCATGAGAGTGATGTAAGTTTCTTCTCTCAAAAGCTTAATTGACTAGTCTGCTCTAGATTATTCAAATTGATTAATTTAGGCAGTTTGTGTTTGTAGGAAAAGCAGAGAGCCAAGGCAAAAGAGAAGCTTGACAAGTGTGTAAAAGACACGCTGTTGGACCTCTGTTGGACCCTTGGTATTCCAACTCCGAAAGCAAACATTAGAAAGGTTTTCTTTTCCTGCCTTGTTCTTGGAATTATATTTTGGTTAATTCAGTACATGACATTCTAATATAGTTTGGTTAACTCATATAGGAGGATATTGTGTCAAAGCTGTTGGACTTCATTGCTGAACCTCACTCTTCAGCTGATTCTGGGCTCTCTGATGACCAGGTTACAACACGTATTCGTACATTGTGATTCTATTTTATTATCAGCTAGATGTTGCTGATGTTTTGTGGTTGGAATCAGAATTAACTTACAAGATTATTCTCTCTGCGTGCTTTATCCTTTTCCACTGGCCAGGGATCAAATTCTAAAAAACGCAAGAGAGGAGGTGAAAGTGCAAGTAAGACTCCTGACAGCACACCTAGTAGGTCAAGGAAGGTACAGTGCCAAAATTGTCTTACATGGTGTGTTGAATATAAGTATACAACTGAAAGCTCTGAACATGACTTAAAGCTATGATTTAGCCTTCCTTAGTGGCTATTTGACCCTAAGCTCAAATGAAGCTTTTCTTCTTGCCTATGTCTATTGTGTACTTCCATTGATTATTTTAACACAGTCATGGTCAGTTGGTCATCCTGCTTTTTATCTTTGTATTACCAACATTTTCATTGCTTATTCTTGCTGCAGAAATTTGTCGATGACAGCACTTCTAGTAAAAGGCAGAAGAAAGCGCTCCAGTATGATACTGATGAGGATGAGGATGAATCCATGAAGTCTGACAGTGAGGAAAACAGAGATGAAGATTCAGATGAAGCTGCTGACAAACAGGAAGGTGACTATGGATCTGGGAAAGAAAAGTCAGGGAAGAAGTTACCAAAGGTAAAAGAATCTTCAGGGAAAAAGAAGGCAGACACAGGGAGTGGCCACAAATCAGGTCCTCCAAAGAAAATTATCAAAAGTCCGGTAAAAAAAGTATCATCCAAGATTCATGAGGAAAAAGAAAGCCCCAATGATAGTGCAAAGGTTTTTTCTAGGAAGAAGAAACCCACAGCAGAAAAGGAGATCAAAGGAAAAAAGTCATCAGGTAAATTAGTGACCCTAATAAGTATCCCAAAATGCCCCCTTTTTGTCGGTGTTTGGAAATTTCCAGTTCAGTTCATATTTACCCCACTGTGGTTCATCATTTCTAGAAATCATCCTTGTCTCTTATTCTGGTGGATATTTTTGCTAATCTTTTTTTTTAGTTGTAGTTGTAGACCATCATGTGGTAATTGCATTGCGCTACATATGATTATTGTTCTGCTTGTGTCATGGTCACAGAAATATCTCACTTTAATATAAAAATCAACAAGGCATAGGTACTTTTCTGTAAGAAAAGGCATAGGTAATTTATTAGTTTGCCCTAAAAGTGGAGATATTGTATTTTATCTAGGCAAAAAGGTGACAAAGGGTAAAGGAGAATCAGCTGAAGCAGTTCTTCCCAGCAAGGACGATCTGAGGAAGACCATTACTGAAATCCTCAAGAAAGTTGACTTCAACACGGTTAGTTACAACTTTCAATGTAGCGTACAGAAAATGGTGTCACTATTGACTATTTGCAATTAACCATCAATTTGCCAAGTGTTAAACGTATCTAGAATGGTGATAGTACAATGGCACATTAGTTGCTTTCAAGAGTGTTTTTATAGTGCCATATTTTCGTCATCTATTATGGACACCTGTGTGTTGATATTCAAGATTTGAAGTTTGGCTACAAAATGTGAAAATGTGAACAGATGTTTGGAAACATGGGTAATTGATGACAGAAATCATACTTATGTGTCTATGATTATTGTAGCATAGTCAATTATTTTGGAATTCCACAAGTATTTTCTCAGTTGTACTAATTGTCAATTGTCATGGTTTTTTACCAACTTTCTGTTCTTTGTTTTTAATTTCTTGTCAAAGTTTCTTATAGTAACCTGACCTCTTCTTGAATCTGATTTTGCAGGCAACTTTCAGTGACATTCTTAAGAAGCTCGGTAAGATTTTCAGACATGTTTTACTGATTTTCAGTTGTTGATACTAGATGCACTAACAAACTTCATCTTTTAGACAATCACTATAAAATGGATCTGACTCCAAAGAAAGAAGCCATCAAAGTTATGATCCAAGATGAGTTAACCAAGTTATCAGAGGAGGACGAAGAAGGAGAGGGAGACGGAGACAAGCAGCAGCAGCCTCAGGCGAAGGAGATCGAGGCATGAGGATTCGCGGAACCCCATAGCTGTAGTAGCCGCTGTTAATTATCCTGTACTTAATGCCTATGCAGTCGCCTGTACAGGCATCCTTTGTTGATTATTATCGCCACCAGCCCGAGAACCTCACCCCCTGATTGTGTATGTTAAGATATGAGACTTGATGTGTAGGCAGCCTCCACACCTTTTAGCTGACTGATCGGAGAGTTACTCCTAGGCAACTTGTGTTTTCTAGATTTGCAAAATGATGTCCGAAACTCTGCAGTTTGCTGATGGATGGTATCAGGCTGTAGTTATGTTGCTGTGAGCTTTTACTTGATCCGTTTCTTCTGTGGACTGTGGATCTAGAGGCCATTTGTGCTTGGAATTGTGCGTGGGCCTGTGGGACGGGTGGTTCAATCTTGAATGGTTGTGTTTTGTTGGTAGCGTTGCTCAGTTGCTCTGATGTCGTCCTGCCTGGGTTATCTTGGTAGCTCCTCCTGTTCCTGCCGCTGTACTGTACCCGAGCGGGAACTGGGTCGGGTTGCAGTACTCGCGGGCGTACTGCAGTTGCTACAGCCACCGCAACTTTGGCTGTTGCGCCATCCTGGACGTCCAAAATCAATCCAAAAGGGCCGAAGCAAGGCACGCACACCTCGCCCAACTTTTATTTGCGACTGAATTTTCCCATTGGTGGGCGATATATAGATCTGATGATAAAAAAAATAGCCCCGAAATTAGGCCGACAAGATTTAAGGAACGGGCCATAAAAGGGCCGGGTTGAATATGTTTATATACGTCCAGTTCGGTAGGACTTATTGTTGTTCATGGTTGATTTGTAGGACTGATTTATTTTAGAGAGAAAACACTGTTCCATAGCTGAAAAAGACTAAAGGCCACAGTCCAGCACACCACAATTGGGCTGTGAATGAGCAAAAGATGGTCGCTGGATTCCGGTGCCTTCTCCCAGATAAAAAAAATAGAAAATTAAAAAGAAGAAGAAGATAACAGCTGAGCCAAACGAAGAAACTGAGCAGTAAGCACCCATTAAGCCAATTGTCAGACCAAAATAAGAACTTCCTTCGGCCGTCTCCTATCTCGATGATGGTATGGTAATTAGCCGGTTGTTTTGCTACTCGTCGTAAATACAAAAGCTCTTTCACCCTGTTCGCTTGATCATTTCTGTAGCTTATAAGCCAGCTGATGCTGTTTTTGTTGTGAGAGAAAAACACTGTATCATGACTAATAAGCAAGCTGATACGATCAAGCGAACAGGGTGTTTGATCTTAAGCATGTAGGCCATTCCGACTAGTTAAGCTGCATGCGCGCGGGCGAAGAGAGGATTGGAGTATATATGGATCATTAATAATTCTAGCTAAGCAGCTACAACTCTTACCGGTTCCGAGCACTGGCGGAACCAGGGGGCCAGGCCGTCTAGGCTGAGAGAGCTGATGGCGATGAGTGGCACGGCGGCCAGAGGAGCGTGGTCATGGCGGCACGTTCACGGCGGCGCGGCGATAGGGGCGTGAGCTAGGCGCACGAGTGAGTGGGCGGCCGCGGTGATGAGGAGAGGCGCGAGCGCGACTAGCGGATGCGGTGGCGCGGTCACGACGGCGTAGATGGGGTACGACGCACGACGATGGGTGGTTAGGGTTAGCGGCGGCGGTGCGACATACGGAAACGAGAGAACTCAGGCACGGGCTGTTGCCGAATAGAGAAGAGGTAGTGCGGGCCCCACATGTCAGTCAGAAAAGTGAGACCAAAACTGTGAGCACTGTTGCGACCGGACGCGTAGTTGAGATGAATGGACACAGGCCTATAGCATCAGGTGCGGTACAAAGAGCACCAGAATGCCTCTCGACGTGACAAGACGCCTCCGATGTTGCCTGACCGGACACGGTGTGGAGTCTAGTCCATTCTTGTGAATCCCCCAAGATGATCAAATGTAGCTTCAACTTCGCACCGGGCGCCGTCTGAATATTGTTCATGCGTCAGTTCATTTAAGCATAGAACGACCGGACGCATGAAGCAGTGAGTCCGGTCCTAAGTCTGGTGCCTGTTCTGCAGCTATTTCTTCTTCCTCCTTCACGACGCTTTCTCCTAATCATGTTCCAATCCAAATAAACACCAGATGACCACCAATTGGAACTAATATGAGAGACCTCACTCAAACCCTCAAGATTTTCAAAATATTTTGCCTTCGGCTATAATCATTTTAAGAAAATAAATGATAAAAATGGGGCGAGAAGCACCATGTGGCCACACAATAGGAATTTTATCCATTAGAAGCTTCAGATGCTCTCCCTATTTGTGGACGAACATAGCGGATGCTCAAAAGATAACCGAAAAGAAACGATAAAGCAACATACATGCATATGCAGTGCAATACAAGAAAGTAAATCTAGTTGCTTGTCAACTTTGATCCAAGGTTAAGCTTTTTTACACGCTTTTCGATGGTTATCTTAACCATGTTAGACAAGCCCTAAGTGCATTACTAAAAATTAAACATGTTTTATATTACAATACAATGCAAAGGATAAAACAAGCTCATTTTTTAGTGAACAGACTTAGGTCAAGCACATTGAGCTCATTCCTCAACTGACAAAACATAGCCTCATCTAGTGGTTTTGTGAAGATATCCGCCAATTGATCCTCAGTCCTTATACCTTCTAGTGATATATCATTTTTAGTAACATGATCTCTAAGAAAGTGATGATGGATATCTATGTGCTTAGTGCGAGAGTGTTGAACCAGGTTATTAGCAAGTTTTACCGCGCTCTCATTGTCACACAAAAGAGGTACCTTTTCTAGAACTACACCATAGTCTAGAAGAGTTTGCTTCATGTAAAGGATTTGTGCACAACAAGCACCCGCGGCAATGTACTCCTCCTTGGCGGTGGACAAGGCCACACTATTTTGTTTCTTAGAGGTCCAAGACACTAGTGATCTACCAAGCAAATGGCACCCTCCGGATGTATTTTTTCTATCAATTTTGCAACTGGCATAATCCGAATCGGAATAGCCAACTAGTTGGAATCTAGCTTCTTTTGGATACCAAAGACCAGTGCTTGGTGTGTGCTTAGGGTACCTAAGGATTCTTTTAACAACCACCATGTGAGCTTCCTTAGCATTAGTTTGAAATCTAGCACATATACACACACTAAACATGATGTCGGGCCTAGATGTGGTCAAATATAACAAGCCACCAATGATAGAACGGTAGAGAGTTTGATCAACCGATTTACCTCCCTCGTCTAGGTCGAGATGTCCATTAGATGGCATTGGTGTCTTGATTGACTTACATTCATCTATTTTAAACCTCTTGAGAAGATCCTTGGTATAATTTTCTTGAGATATGAAAATCCCTTCTCTTATTTGCTTGACTTAAAAACCAAGAAAGAATGTAAGCTCTCCAATCATAGACATCTCAAACTCCTTCGACATCAATTCACCAAACTCTTTGCAATAGTCTTCATTTGATGAGCCAAATATGATATCATCAACATATACTTAACAAATGAAGATCTCTCCATCAAGCTTCTTGATGAATAGTGTGGTGTCAACCTTTCCAGTGGTGAAGCTCTTCTCAATGAGGAAATCCCGAAGATGCCCATACCAAGCTCTAGGGGCTTGCTTTAGCCTATATAGCGCCTTGGACAACCTATAAACATGATTAGGATATATGGGGTCTTCGAATCCGGGAGATTGATCAACATAGACTAGTTTATTTATGAAGCCATTTAAAATACACTTTTAACATCCATTTGATATAATTTCATTTCACGATGAGATGCATATGCAAGAAGGATACGAATGGCTTTAAGTCTTGCAACCAGTGCAAAGGTCTCTCCAAAATCCAACCCTTCAACTTGAGAGAACCCCTTTGCAACTAACCTTGCCTTGTTCCTTACAACAATACATTGATCATCTTGCTTGTTGTGGAACACCCACTTTGTTCCAATGACTCTTATATCTTGTGGTCACTCTTCAAGTGTCCAAACTTTATTTTGGTCGAAGTTGTTCAATTATTCATGCATGGCATTTATCCAATCTAGATCTTGAAGAGCTTCTTCTACACTCTTAGGCTCAATGCAAGAAACAAACGAGTGATGTTCAATAAATGAAGCAAGTTTTTGAGAACGAGTCATTACACCCTTTGAATGACTCCCTATGATGAGATCTTGTGGATGTGCTTGAAGTAGAGGCGAATTTCTTCTATCAACCACTTGAGGAGGAGGTTGTGGAGCATCAACATCTTGAGCTTGTGCCACCATTTCATCGTAGGAGACATGAGTGTCTTCATTTTCTACCCTCCTGTGGGGGATATGACCCCCGGTATCCATAAGATAAGACATGGGCCGCACCATCAGAGGTGGCCTAGCCCACAAGATCAAGGCGTGCATGACACTGGTCGACGTGCACCGCAAGATATTGTACAGTACCAAATAGGATACTTTCCTTGTAACCCTACCCCTCCAGAGTATATAAGGAGAGGCAAGGGTCCCCTAGTGGACATCTACATACATCTCATATTCAATACAATACAACAAAGACACAGGACGTAGGGTATTACGTCGATCAGACGGCCCGAACCAGTCTAAATCGCTATCTCTGCGCCTTATGTCACCATCCGGTTCCTGATTACGCGCACCCCCACCGACAAATCTACCATCGTGGGATACCCCTCGGTGGACTGCTGAGCATCTTTTGTCGACAGTTGGCGCGCCAGGTAGGGGTGTGCATGCTGATTCCATGGCGAACCAGATGGGATCTCAAGACTTACGTCCTGGCGAGATCGACTTTCATCTTGCCTGCAACGTCAACACGGAGATTTGCCACCGAACTCAAGTCGCCGTGCGAAGACCAACAACCCAGATTGAAGACTCACATGGTCATGCAACAATTGAACCCAACGTCTACTCCAATTAAGGTGGGGCCAGCAGGTTTCTATTAACTTGGCAAAGGCATTGGACGAGTACAAGAAGGCGCTAGATCCAGCCAACAAGCAGCGACAAGCAAACAATGAAGAA